CGTTGACACCTAATTATAACAATAAGTGTTAATTAGGTGTCAACGATAGCTATGTGATGTATCAGTCACATGGAGGCAGTGCTCAAAAGCCTGAATTTTGCCTGAAACTCTCAGACTGAAGAAGTCTCTTGGAGGAGAGACGAAACGTTTCATTAGAGAAGAACCCGTCCAGAGGACCTACACAATTTTTTTTCTTTTTGATTTTTTACCTGGATTACTGAGATGCATCAGGACAATGCTTATATGCAATAAATCTTATATCAGGCACATGATTGGCAGCACCTGGGTGTACTAGAAGCTCAAAACAAGCTTCATTAACAACAAAATAAGCTGTTTGGCAGAGAAGATTTGACTTTTTTCATGTGTATACAACCCACATACCCAGATTTGYTGCTCAACCCACAAAGGCATGTTCCTTACAAATGTGACACCATTTATAAGAGAAATCATCAGGCTTTCCAGCAGTATAAGATGTATTGCTCAGAAGCATTGTTACAACAAATAAATAATCTGCTAGACACAAATGTCCTTACTTTTGTACTAAGTTTAGAAATAACCCATTAGGAAAACTGCCATTTTTTATTTAAGTTTTTAATTAAATGTACACCATAAACATACACAAGTGTTTACAAATTATTGTCAAAATGTTTACTATGAAGGACATTTTCGAAAGGATAATTCACGTCTTTTGAGGTCCCGTTCTGTGGAAAGTTCATGAACCGGTAATAGCTTGATCAACAGTTGTYCAATTTAACAGCCAGTATTTTTGATGATTAAAAGTTTTTTCTTTCTCTTGTCACATTTTACATTTGCTATTAACTGCAAAAAGGGAGCATTAAAGGCCTGAGATGGCCAACCACCCTGCCCAAAATCAACAGCCAATGTAGAAATTCAGTAAAATAAAAACGATTAGACCCCGTGACCCTGAAAGGAAGAAGCAAGTACAGATGATGGATGGTTTAAAAGTAATAAAATCAAATGTAAAACATCTATAGCAAACTTACGTGGTAATTTGAAAACTCTAACCCCTCTAAATCTCATAAATCTGGTTGAGGGTAAAGAATGTTATTTCCACATATTTTGATCCCTTTAAATCCTCTAAATCCAGTTCACCTGATTGTTTTCAGAGGGGAATGGCCTAATTTTACYTTCTGACAACAAAAGTGTTCTGTGTGGCCCATTGTGGGCAACGCTTAATGACTTATTGTTCTTGAAACGTGTAGCTAACCACTAGATAAAAAACACCCTGTAAAGAAACTAGCCTGTAAAATGGTTGATTTAAAATCAGTATCAAAGCTGTCTAACAGACAAAACAGCAAAATGTCCAACCCTTCATGATTCTCACAGGTCAAAGATCAAGCACAAAGTCTCCAAAACAGATGCAGCATTACCATCTGTTGCTTCTACAATGGGCGTGTGCATGTCATAACACACACAGCATACGTAGGTGTGTTCAGCGTCACAACAGCCGAGGTCTGTGTTTAGCCGTGTTTACATGTGGGAACATCTGGGCAAAGCCTGAGGTCAGTGAGGGTGTTCACATCACTAACACTCCATAAAAGACCTTTCCCACGACGGACGCCTCAGTCTGCTGGGTGCAGCGMTGTAAATAAAGATCTGTGTTTTTCAAAAACAAACCCTGGCAGTCCTTCATTTACTGGGACGCCATACGCTTGTAGTCTAAATATAATTTGGTATTTTGTTCACTATTGTTCTGACATGTCAAACATAGTCAGTCGTTTTCCTCGCAATACGCTTGATCTATAATTTGGACTCATTTGTTGTGATGGAAAAACGGCTGAAAAAGTTTTTTTTTTTTCGTTAACTTGAATTAAAGCATTCAAAGTGATGTGCATTTTTAATGGAATGCATATCAGCCACCATCTTTCATACCAGAGTTTAAACTAAATCTTGTGCTCAGAGATTTTGGAATTGTAGCCATTTTGTTCAGACCTTGAAAAGAAGAGTTTGTGTTGGGAACAGCTAACTGTTGTCATTTTGTGTTGGCTAGTGTAGATTAGCTGTGGAGGCCATCTTGAACTGGCTCCTGACAGTTTTATTTATTGATTGGTTTGTGAGATATTTTGCTAACAGACTTACCTTTKGGTGACAAATACCCTCACAGTACAACAAATTATGACACAAAAAACATAAGCAAATGTGATGGATCCATCAGCGAGAGTAAAACAAAATACGACACAAGACTGCACCTGATCAGATTACGTTCACTTAAATCTTTATTGTTTATATAATTCAACATAGATAATAGGTAATCATGTTGCTGCTGCATTTAAAACTCAGAGAGGAAGAGGAAAAACAAAAAATGAAACGATTAGCGGAGCCCGTTGGTGAGACTTTGCTCGACCTTGAGTTGAGTYGACATAAAGCTGCACAGACAGAAAGTTTTCCACTGGCAGAACACAGAAGCACAGACAGAATATTCTGGAATAAATATCCTCATTGTCAGTCTCCTCTTCCTTTCTTCGCAAACTCTGTGGCTTTGAAGGCGCCACCCAGAAACTCCAAAACACTGTCAGTTGCAGAGGTGACATTGTACACTGACAGGTACACTAGTGAAACCAACTTTTATTATTACTATTAATATTATTAGTGAAAGTGAGAGATGTATCTACCTAKTCTCCTAAATGTCACTGAAATACACACAGGAGGTTTTCTGATAGGGTCTCCGAAGCTCCAGCAGACCCACCTTCTTTACTATTCTTACACCACGCACGGTAGTATTTAAGAAACAAGGTAATTATTTAAAATAAATAAAGAAAAATAATGAGAAAAAAGTTAACGTGACTAACATTTTATACTTGTATGTGTGTTATCTGCTAACCACRTCAAAGAAAACATTTGTCACGATCTCGACGGAGAGGAACACACGTCTGCACTGAAAAATAAAAACAACCAACGAGTATTTAGAATATTGCGAAGAGGAACATCAARTCTAACCATGCACAAAGTAAGGCAACCTACCGCATATGGTGATGGGGTTTTAATACAGAAACAGATTGGGTGGATGTGACCGTGTGAGGTGTGTCTAATTCTACTACACCTCTGAGGGCTTTTGTCAGAGCGATCTGGGATGTTTTGACCTCACCTACAGACAGACAAKCTGGTCCAGATTAAAGCCATCTACTCCATACAGCGGAGATTATTTGTAGTGTCGGCCTTCATCTGTAATGTTCTTATGCTACAGTAAAGCCTTGTTGTTGACTTTACAGGAAAATACATGTAATAAAATTCAGRTTTGTCTCTAYTGAACTACAATATGTTTGATCACACTTTACATTCAGTTAAATTTGCAGTTTTTTTCCTCCCTCATAGGAAAAACTTGTGTTTTTTATAATGATATAATGCAGTGTTGCTAGACACAGTAACTTATGTGATAGCTTTAGGGTCCATACAATGTATGACAAATAGTTGTTAAAAAGCTCAAATGTACAATAGTTTTGGCATTTCTGTTCGCTAAACGAAACTTGTTTTCATTCATGTGAACACCTATTTATTGTCGTGTAATCCGAMCCGTCAGACCGTGTGCTCACCAGGCATTCAAAACCACATCTCGGCTGAAAWGCGCACCTTCCCTCAGCACATATGATAGTTTTATTCAAAATACAATCAATTTAAAGGGGCATAAACAATATTCCGCCATTTCTTATCTGGCAACCCTGCATGTATGTATGTATGTATGTACAGTATGTGTCTGTGAATGCATATGTGTTTCCAGCTTGTGACAGTTAGAGATGGCCGTATTTTACAAATCCTTCGTCTTGATGAGGGTAACCAAAGGCTTGTCTTCTGGACTGTAGTCCTCATAGGCGATGGGAGTGGCRTCATACATGGCGGGCCGAGACTTCTTCCCAAATCTGGTGAGAAAACACAAAGCCAGTCATGTTTTAGAAACAAAATGTTTATTGAAACATTCTTTTGGCTCATYAATGCTCGTCAAGTTAGAAGGAAACGCAGACAACAATTAAATAAAATATTGCATTTACGATGATAAACCTTGTAAGTTTGTGTGATACTTTACTAAATCAGTGATAACAATTATTWTTTATTTATTTATTTTCATTTTTTGCCAGTTATGTATAATGTCTCTCATGAAGGTGATATAAACAATAAACTAAGGGGTTAAATATCACTGAGTTCATATTTTCTGAAGTGTGCAGTTATAAGTCAGTATTTTACCTGCAGCRGACAGCAGTCAGAATGGTCTTGGTTCAGAGAATCGGGGAGAAGCTTTCATAAGAAAGTCGAGCTAACACTCCTCAGAAGAGGGACCATTCAAAAGCAAAGCTGCATCTTTTAAAACTCAAACATCCAAATTTTAATTTTCYCTCACCTGGCATGGCGGATGGATGCAATGGCATTGCTGAACTCGCTGTCGATGCTGCGGCAGTTGTAGAACTCCTGGTAGGCGTGGCGTGACGATCCCTGGTACTCGATGCGGCTGATGCGGCAGATGCCTACGATGAGGATGATGAGCATGAGGACAAACGCCACGCACAGAGCTCCGATGATGATGTAGAGGGAGTGCCGGGGCATGTTGGTCAGGGCGTCCTCAGAGTGTGCAGGCTTCCACTGCAGGTCTAACAAACACACAAACAAACACACGCAGCCTTTCAGCTCCAGCTGTTTTGATTGRTCGCCACGTAGATGCTTTCTGACAGAAAGACTTACGGATTTCACAGCTGGGGCCCACCCACCCATTTGGACAGTGGCAGGTGTAGCCGTTTGATTGGTCGATGCAGGTGGCACCRTGGTGACAGGGGTCGCTCTCGCACTCGTTGATGTCGACCTCGCACCTCTCCCCTGAGCAGACAGGTGAGGGAGGATTCAGTAATGAGCAACGCCACAAAAGGAGGAACCAGGGACACGTAGTCGTTTTCACATTTATTTATAAAACCTTTTCATTGCTTATGGTTTTCTGGCTGAAATTATAATTTTTTATAGCTGGGTCAAAGATGAATTACCAGTGATCAGGACCTCCAAGTTAACATTTATATATTCTAAAAAATACTTTGAAGTATTTGATGTCACTGTGTTGTCATTAGCTACTTATTGTTTTTGTTTTTTTTCTTTATCTCACTTAAAGGTCATTTTGTGTCTAAAGGAGTATTCCGGTCATCTGATTATAATTGTTAAATGTCATCTCGTGTGTTTCCATTTTAGTATTCAATTTAATGTTGCCATTTTTTTAGTTTTGTGATACAGATACAGATACAGTTTTTAAGTATTTAGGTTTTCTTTGTGTCTAATTTAGGTTGTTTTACATTTATTCGATTTAATGTTGTGCTGATCAGGATCCTCAGTCATTCAGGTCATGATCAATAAAAACAGGTTAAAAAAAGCTTGACTACTATTTTGAAGCTGAAGATGTTTCGTGTCCCATCCAGGAAGCTTTTTCATTTTAAAATGTCTGAAGTAGTGTGGAGTTCCAAGCTATAAACGTAGACCTGCATGAGAAGCCTYGTCAGTGCCTCACATGTAGAAAACCAGAAACTAYTCGTCTCTCACAATAAAAAGTGGTYAGGCTCTTTGTTAGCCYGACTCACAGGAGAAATGTCTCCGTCACATGAATGAAGATGTGAAACGAGATGAAACTGAGTAGGAATCAAACCYATTGCTGTACGTTTTGAAAGTTGAAACCTAAGACCTCCTCTTCTGTTTAGTTGCTTTTTTTTTTCCTTGTTTGATGTAAATGGTTTCATTCACTTCCTCTCAAACCACCTGTCTTATCTGTCCTAAATATCAACATTTTGGTCCTCAAAAAGTGATCTTCATCCTTGAGGTGCAGGTAGGCACATGAGTCTTGTCTTGAAGAGCTGATTCTCCTGTGTTGAGCCATGCATCTGCGGAGAAGATGTTGTTTCTGATATAGAGGTCTGAACAAGCACTAACAACACCACTCTACTCCAGCCATTTTCAATTGAGGAATCTTCCTGGACGAAAACAAACTGTCTTCAGCTTCACAACAAAAGTCCAGTTATTTGTTTTTAATCTTTTTTTTGATCGATTCTTTGTCGTCTCTTTCTTATCATTCTTTATAACTCTTATCTTTTTTCAGCTTAGTTGTTTTCTGTCCCTATCTTAGAGATGTAATATTTCAGATCAAAGCTGGGTAGCTGTGACTCATATGAACTCTGGACTACAGATGTGATGTTCACAAACAATTTGAATCATTCAAATGGCTCCAATGACTGATAGGAACCAAGTTTCAGACAGTAAAGTGACGTTTTATTTATTTTACTCCTTTACCTCCCTAAYCACAGAATCGCTCCTTCTTCACTTTTCCACAGAAAACAGACAGAGAGGTGGAGTAAAGAAGCTCGGGGTAGGGGGAATTCTGCTTGACAAAACACACGGTACCGCCCACGTGATCTGATGGTATATCCCTACATGATGACGTCACTCGTTCAAAACCAAAAGGCTCTATTGAACAGCTCTATGAAACAAATGGCTCATAAAGATCTGGAGCCATTTGTCCCATTTCWACGCTGGACGTGAACTTTACAGAGCCATTCAGTGTTCACCTTGGTATCCAGACGGGCAGGCACAGGAAGCGTTAAGTCCCACACTCTCACAGCGGCCTCCGTTCTGGCAGCGCACCTTCAAACATGGATTCTTGTAGATTTCACAGTGCCTTCCTGTACAGACGCAAGCAGAAGGATCTCACCGTGGTTCWGCACATTTATCACTTTATTATAACCCCAGAGGGGTTGCCAGCTAGTTCACACATATACCTTCAAAGTGCGCCGTGCAGACACACTCATAGGCGTTAATGAGATCCCTGCAGGTGGCGTAGTTCTGGCAGGGAGCAGACAGGCACTCGTTGTGCTCTTCCTCACAGTACAGCCCATGGTAGCCTTAACGAGACACACCAGACTTTAGTCAGTTTATAGTTTTTAAAACCACACAGCATGCCTGCTCTGAAAATATCCTCTACAGAAAGGAGGTCTGGTTCGAAACSATCCTGCAGGAAAGAGAGAGAAGTTTTACCTCCTGGAAACTTTAGCTCAGTGAAGGTGGTTAAAAATTAGCCGGTGATGAAGCAGTATTCATGATTCACGCAGCACCGAGTCAGGAGTCTCCCAGAGCTGCTGTAATGTTCACCTTCTGCTCAGAGGCATCCCAATAAGAGMCTTCCATATTTCTCTTTTTATAGACCTTCTGAATTCTGTACAATACGATCCCATAAATGTATTTAAAAACTTTAAAGTGTTTAAATTTATGATTTAGGCACGTAACAACGTATTTGGCTCTTTGTTTCAATATCAAATAGAAACGACACAGACATGCAGTGCTCAGTGTTTTCCATAGGATGGCAGCTGTGGACTGAAGCAGAATGAATCAGGATCAAAACACCATCCTGGCATAAATACCCATCAGCACCCGCTTCCCTGCTCTTTGTTGAAGGAACTTAGTACACTGTCACAAAGACTGGTCAAAAGTRAGAAACAACACATGCAGGTTTTTTTTTCCTTAATATTGATATGTCCCTAAATTAAAAATATGTCAACATATACCTGAGTTTTTTACCTGCAGAAACAGGCAAAATGACTGAAAAAAAAGTCCACGTCCATGGAAGAACTCTTTGTGTGTACTGACACACATTCATGCTCCGGTTTGAATAAAGTTAGACAGCATTTGAAAATTACTTGCTCTTTTTCTTTTCTTTAGTTTCGAGCAGCAGATTCACTTTTATATTTAATCTTTTTTGAGATTCTATGCTTGTCCAGTTCCACCATGTTTATTTACCTACACAGATTATTGCCAAGCTAACGTAAATCAATTATGTGACTCAAGTGTTCATGTGGTTTTAGATAGAAGTGCTTTGATTACATTGAGTGCATCCCCACATTTCAGAATTGCATATCATCTATAAAACCACTGGAGCTACCAGTTTAAAACTGAATCATTTGATATAGTTCAGGATAACTATTTCTAAGTTGGATAAATTTTATAATTTGCAAAGAGTACTTTTAACTTCTGTGGGCTAATGAGGTGAATACAAAAACTGACAAACCAAATTTTACAAAAGAAACGATGAAAAAGTGAAACAGAAATTAAAACGTTAGGTAAGGTTGTGTATTTCTTTCAAGAAGAAGCTATTGTGTTGTTATTGTGATTTAATATGTCTGGACTTTATCAAAATGATATTTAGGACTAATTCAATTTTCATTTATTTAATAAAAACTGGATAGGTTACACTAATTTTTCTTGGTGAATGTTTTTCTTTTAGTAGGAATTGTCAGATTTGTTCTAGGAAACATTTAGCCATTTTAGTGAAAGGCTAATGTAATCAAGTTGTACGAACAGATGTTTGATTGTTGTTACTTCCATCTGCTTGTTGAATGAAAAAGAAATCAGATGCAATAAGAKTTACAGGATTAAACTTCATATATGTTAATTCAACATGTAGTTCAGTTCATCCGACCCAAATTTACATAAAAATCAACAGCAGTAAAATAAAATAAAATGTTAATCTTAAAAGTTTACAGTGATGGAACCTGAAAATATTACTTAGAGAGAACAAAAAAATATTATTTTCTGCACGTGTGGAAAATTTGTTTAATTTTATTCATCAAATTACATTTAAGTAAAAAATGTAAATAAACACACAATATTTAAGACTGAAATGTGTTTTGGTTGTTTGTTTAATAAATTCTAAGTGATTTTTTATGTACAAATGTGTTTTGATTTTTTTTCCTATGACAATTACTTTAGTCTCAAAATGAACAGAATTGAGCTTATAATTAATAAATAGCTGTAATATTAGAGAACCTAATTATTTAATGCCTGATGCTGCTTTTCACAAGTCCATTTAAACAGTTTTATTGAGGTTTTCTACATTACTACTGATGTCAAAGCAACAGTGTCTCTGTAGTTCTTACTCAAATGTGTAACAATCTATTTTCATCCCATCCATKTCCCAGTTGGGTCCCAGTGCTGACTGAAGGTTCAACAAACTCTCTTTGGGCCACAGCTAAYGTGCGTTTGAGGAGGAGGAGACCAGAATTTAATGAGGAGCCCAGCTCCCGAGTCCTGTCTGCGAAATGCCAGTAAAATGTCAAGTGCCTTTTCCAGGACTCTGTCTGTCGTCTGTGGGGCCGACCGGAAGGCTGGCAGCGTCTCCTGTGAGCTGGATTACAGGAATCTGGAAGAAGACTTCCTTTTAGCTCCCCAGCAGCTGGATTTCAAACAGCTGGCAGGCTTTAACACAGCTCCACGCTTTCCATCTAATTACATAGAAGAGACGATCACACACTGACGCTCTCCTGAGGTAAAGAAACAATTTGGTCTCTTTGTGTGCGTTTGTTGCAATGTCCGGGATGCTGATGGCTAAATCGTTCATTTCACCATTTCCATTAAACAGGGTCTGCTCAGCAGAGGCATTTGATTGGATCTTCACCAGCAGCGTAGTCCTAAACACACACCCGAGCACACATGGAAGTCAGCTGCTTCAGCATAGCAACGAGCACAAAAAAAATGGATGAGAGGGAAATGAGGTGAGGTAAACAGAATGAATWTGAAGACAAGGAAGGACAAAAGGACAATAAGTGTGAAAAAAATGAATAAAAGAAAACAAACAAATAAGAGCGGCTGTGGAAGAGACGTTGCAAGATATGAAAATAATTGGAAAGCCCGCTCTGCATCAGGGCACAGCGAGAGAGCTTGAATTAGGAACTCGAGCGGTAACTCTCACGGCACAGATGCTGCACTGTTCCCAAAGATAGGGAAATTAAAGGAGAAAAAGTTGCAAAATAAGCCTCGGTTGCATTTCCTTGTTAGTGAAATTCTAAAACTCCAGAGTCGAGGCGTAAAATGAACTCTTCACAATGTATAACGTCTGAACATTTGTAACCGTGATACAAAATAAACAGGAAAATTACCCACAGAGTGTGGGCCAAATCTGGTGTCAAGCTGGCTGACTGCTGGCATGAAGTTTGTCAACCAGGAAGTGGGCCAGGTCTGGCAATGACGGCGCTGTTTTTAAGATGGAATGCCACAACTGGCCCAGTTGTGGGTTGGTTTATGTGGTGTTGGCCCATGTATGGACCACCTCTGGCAAACCAGGTCTGGACCACCAAAGGGCTGTCMCTCTTCGAGGTATCTGGGCTGAGTATTAGTGGAGTGTGTGGGCCAGAACTGGGTCAACTGGGTAGCAACTGCACAGTAGACACAATACGCCGCCACCCCCWACCCAAAGTAATTCAACATGACACAATACAGAACAAATAAAACAAATGATACAATATGATGTTCTGTAACATAGTTTATTGTCTCCTTGGGGAAATCTCAAATATGACTTTAAAACTGTTCTATTGACAGATTGTATAAACTGAGAGCAGCGGGGCCAAAGTGTCACATTATGTGAAAGGCCACTGAGAAAGTCATCCATCTCACCGGCACGACAAGGTAATTGCGAGCCAGTGGATAATGATAAGCCATCATTTCGCACAATTGATTTGATCACAGAGGCATTGGCAGCACAATCATCCCATCTAAAAATAACTTCTCCTTGAGCCAGGCGACGTTTACAGCTTCAGAGTGTGAGCCAGTTATACAAGGGYCATCTTTTCACATATCACAAAGTTTTATTGCAAAAAAAAATGTTGAGAAAACTGCAGACAAGTAAGGATTTAAAGGTTTTTTTAAGGTGACAATGGTTTTCTGATCAACTGAAGAGGCATCTTTCAGGTGTCAGGTCGTTGGTGGGTTACTTTATTTTTCTCAAACACGACTTTTTTTCCTTTGACCTAAATGTTCTTCTTCTGTCCTCCATTTGTTCACAATCCTTATCTTTTTTTATAAATCACACAGCACAACATGCTGTCACTGTCAGAGATGTAGAACGGATAAAAAAGAGCCAAATGAAACACTTGAAAGACATTCAGAAAGCCAGTAGATCTACTGTTCCAGTGCACCTATTTGGCCCATAGCATTCACAAAAGAGTCTCCAGAATATCTCAAAACATTTGCAGAGGTTTTCAACTTCAGAGGTTCGTGGTCTTGATGCTTGAATTTTGAATTATGTTCAAAATAAGTCGTGCAAAAATCTCTAGCTCAAAATATTCCCAGAGTTTTTGAGTCATAAAAACTGTATCAGTTTGTGGTTTGAGTTTGAGATGTATCTCTTTTTGTGCTGTTACCTTGTGTCCTCAGTGTTTCTCTTCCTGTTGTTTCTGCTCCTGCCTTGCCCATCTGTCCTTGTTGTCTTTCCTCAAGTGTTTGTCATTCAGCTCATCAGTGTCTCCCCTTAAATGTTTGTCCCTCCAGCATTAAGTGTTGTTTAGACACTGCCCCAGTCCTCCATATGTCCAGGTCTCAGGTCTCAGGAAGATTTGTAAGTAGAGTTCAACTGTCTTGGCAGCCCTTTGTTTTCTTGTTAAATAAAGTGGATTGACACTTGTTTTGTTTTTGTAATTCTAGAAAACTAGAGTTATGAAAGAAACATCCAAGGCGTCCATCGGTCAAGTGAGACATTGACTTAAGGAAGACTTAAAACTGTGGGGTAGCCAGGAAGGTGTTTTTTTTTTTTGTACTTGAAAAGTTGATATAATCTCTATGGGACCAGAAAAAAAATACAACTGCATAACAAAGATACATTCTGAAGTCAAAGAATTCTCTAAAAAAATGTCATTTTGTGAAGTCCCCTGACTGTAATTTATTATAAATAATCATTACCCATCAGGAACTCAAGCTTCTACTAAAAACACTGATGAGGTTCAAATCTCTTGAGCCTTACCTGGGACACAAAGACACCTGTAGCTGTTGCCCACGCTGCGGCAGACCCCGTGGGCGCAGGGGTTCAGAGCACAGAAGTCCACCAGCTGGGCGCACGTGGGTCCTGTGAAGCCTGCGGTGCAGCTGCAGGCGAACCCTAGGGGCCCGGGGCCCTGAGCGTAGCAGGTACCGTTGTTGTGACAGGGGCTGGAGGTGCAGGGGTCAACCTTCTGTTCACATGAAGCACCCTGGTAGCCTGCCACACCAATGTGGGATGAGGAAGGAAAGTGGAGAAAACATTAGTGTGAATCTAATAATGTTGGAAGAGAAAGGAAAATGCCACAAATAAACATCAAAGAAGCAAACTAAAAACTTCCAAGATCTAAGTTCAGTACTTTCAACACTTTTTTTGTTTAAGAGTGGAGCTTGATGAAACATTTTGAATACTTTGAAGTGGGGTTAAGTTCCAATGTTATTTCTCACAAGGTTATTATTCTCGAAGTTGGCGTGATGTCATTCAGTCACATGATTTCAACCTCCATTTTTTTATGGGGGAAAACTGCAGCTGAAGGGAGCAGGAAACACAGTAATCTCATGGAAAAAAAACACAATTGTCCATCATCAGTTTCGTCTTTCTCTTAAACCGAAAAAAAAATATAGCCCCCAGACCTCTATTTTGACTGAGGCTTAAAGTTATCTGACAAACACTAAAAAATGTACAGGAAGAAGAAAATAAAAAGAGGCGAAATTTGAATGTAGATTGGCGGCAATGAAGAGCCGGTGAGAGCAGGACTTTATTAATTAGATCTGTGACTTTTAACATGTTTGGATTTTATGGTTAGTGTGTAGTTTTGAGTGTTTACTCTTCATTTTAGCCAGTTTTAGTGTTTTGAATCAAACCAATGAGGCAATTTTTTTTAAACAAGGAGAAACGCGGAGGTCTGCAGAGGCAGAATGACGTGTCTTATTTCTCTCCCCTCACTCTTGCAGTTAGAAAAAAATAATATTTTATCTCTGGATGTTTTTTTCACGCGAGAAATGCAGTCCCAGAGCAACTTTTCACCATTTTTCCTATTTTCCACATAGAGGAACTCATCCTGTTCTCCCCCAAACCAATATGTCAGCCTCCGTTTACAACATGGTCACGTGAAAGTACCCGGCTGTTTGACTTTGAGAATGGCCGAAAAAAATATGATATTCCGGTTGAACTACACTAGGTTGCTCTAAAAAATGTTACAGCTAGCTGCTGACGATTATTTGTTCTCAAAGTATCATAAGATATAAATAACTGTGAAAACTGAAAGTAATGTAAGGATTTATGAAAAGCAGTCACACTGACTGAAGCGGTTAAAAAAACTGTTTTCCTCCAAACTAAAGTCGTTCCAAAAGCTATCTACAACAGGCAAGATGTTTATTGTTCATACATAGCTGAACTATCCCAAAGACCTTTAGTTTTGGCCATACTGACAATGTGAGTTTTCATCTTTCTTGTTGTACAGAGAAGTGCTGCTGAAATAAACCGAGCAATTTTTTTTTCACCCTTTAGATGAATTTTAATTTTCTCTTCTCCATCTGCTAGTTTCGGCTGTTAAAATGCTGATAGAAACAGTTGTGG